AAGTTAAGGGAGGGTCTAGGATCTCTTAAGTTAAGAGAAAAGTTACGAGAATTTTTAATTCTCTTAACTTTACGAAGTTTCTGGCAACGCTTTAAGAGAAAAAGGTTAATGTTAAGACTAATTTTTTTCTGGCAACGGGCCCCAGGTCAATCATGCATCCTTAAAGGAATACTTGACTCTAGGTTCTAGGGTTATTTTCAGTCAATTTAGGTTAAAATTACGCTACATTAAAAATTTCATGGTGCAATCGCCATTAGAATTTTTTTTTAAATGTTTTAAAACTAACGACTACAGTTTGATTACAACGACGGTGGCGCCACTCAAAGCGCACTATCTGAAAAGTTGCGCAAACGGACTTTTCAGCCAAGGGGTACAGACTGAGGGTGTTTCTTATTTATTAATTTAAAAGCAGAAGGATTGCAATATCTTATAAACGACATATAGTTTCAGTTATAATATTGATAAATTTGTCCTAAAATGAATATCGTTCGGTTAAATAGCATTCAAGTATAAATATAATTGCACTTTTGTGATTAGCCCTCGGTCTGTAACGTGCAAAATAAATTGGCTAAAGCGCAACTTTTTCAGGGTGGCAGCACGATCGCGGCTGTCATGTCAGCGCCCAAAAATGAAGATTTCGAAATTCAATGTTGTTTTATGACAAACGTGAATGCGTAATTATAGATATTTATAGGTATGTGCTATTATTTATAAATCTACTATCATAATATACTCTCAAATTCTAGAGTAAAGTATTCCTTTAAAATGGCATTACAGTGGATGACACTTGACAAACATAGCAGAGAAATACGCAAAATGGCCTTGTGCTAAAATTTCCACGCTGAATTAACTAAGATCTATTATTCTTTGCACCAAGCTTAAGGCCTCACCCAAGACAGACCCAAGTGGTGCAAATCCATTATTGAAGCTGTATGTCCCTCTCACCTAGAAGAGGATTAACTAATTATTTCTACTTATAGGCCAAAGAAAGTTTCAAAAAGGCATTGCATCTGCACAGAAACGAGAAATCCTTTGTAATGCTTGGAAAGGTGTTTCTCCAGGAGAATGACCTTAACATGGCCATCGATGTTTACAGACGTGCCGTCGAGTGAGTCACGCGAGCTTACGTTATGACTTGGTTCAGGAATACCACCGCCTAGAGTGCATTATGAGAACCATCTCTAATAGTCATGACTAAAATATCTATAACTCTAAAATGTAATAAGTTTTGCACAACACCGCACTATAAAGGTTATGGCATTTTAGGGTTTCCTAATCTCCTTAGTTCCCTAACCCCCATGATACAATTGTCCACATATCACACTGAAAGAGCATGTGTCACGGATATTCAGACAGAAGCCAGATGGCTTTCAAATCTACTTGCTTAAGGAGATTGTGATGTTTTTGTTCTTTGCAGGTATTCCTCGGAAAACCCTGAACTACTGACAGCACTTGGTCTTCTTTACATGAAGGTAGAGTCATACCAAAAAGCATTTGAGCACCTAGGGAATGCTCTCACATATGAACCGACAAACTTTGAAGCAATATTAGCTGCTGGTAAGTAGCCATTGATACGAGCAAAGGATGTTATTTATTTTGCAGTCAGGATAGCCATGAACCTAGACATATTGCACCTTCATTATGTTCATGGCATTACATGCTATGTTGCCGTGATCATATGTACTGCAATATCTTGATGAGAAAACAAAATCTGGTAGTAATTCCTCATCAACACCTAGTAATTAGATTGCTCTGTGTGATTACTATGGTATCTTGCCAGCAGGTGGCTTGCACTGGGAATGCTTTCATTGCTTTCACCGCAGGTAGCATAATGCAAATGCATCGTGACCACGACGTCGCCCTGACCAAGTACCGCATCGCAGCCGCACACGCGCCCGAGAGCGTGCCACTGTGGAACAACATTGGCATGTGCTTCTTTGGCAAGAAGAAATATGTGGCCGTGAGTTAATCTTTGCTTGGGCGACACTCTGTGGGAGACGACGCTGTCATTGTCACTGCTGTTTTAGACGACGATGCTCGATGGGTCATGCAGAATTCGCTGAGAACAATTTATTATATATTCATAATAGCAATCAGATAGAGAATGTGTGTGCATGTGTGCGTGCGTGCGTGCGTGCATGTGTGCGTGCGTGTGTGCGTGTGTGCATGTGTGCACTTCTGTGTATGCATATACACGCGCGCATTTAATCTGTTGAAAAGTTGTATTCTGTGTTAATACGTGTACATCGACCTCCTAAGGACCTAAGCTGAGTCGATATGAAAGTGTGTCATTCGGCATGACGCGTCATTTCGTTTCGTTTCGTTTCATACGCGTTTTCTTCCCTAATTCACTTCTTGCAGGCCATCAGCTGTCTGAAACGGGCAAACTACCTTGCTCCTTTTGAGTGGAAGATTCTCTACAACCTCGGGCTGGTGCACCTGACAATGCAGCAGTATGCTTCCTCCTTCCACTTTCTCAGTGCTGCCATCAACCTTAGGCCACGCATGTCACAACTATACATGCTTCTTGCGAGTACGTATACATGTGGTTTAATCCACTTCTGTGCCAGAAAGTGATATATTCCGGTGGAGTGGTTGTCAAACAGGTGTAGCCAAACAGCATTTTTTACAAAGAGGGTTCTAAAGACAGTGCGTAGTAACAAAGTACCACTATGTTGACATTTTAGTATACACCATTTACAAACTGCGTTAGTTTGACCAACCGAGAAATTGCGTCCAAGGGGTTGTAATTATCGCGTCGATGCTGATATCCTTATTGATATTATTTCCTGCTTAATAATTTTAATTTATTATTTATTTATTCTGCATTGAAATAAAAAGTTATCGAATCTTCATTTACTGACCTGACCAAATCGGTGATGAGTTATTTCACTCAGTTATGACTTGAAATTCATGTAAATCTTTTGCAAAAATAGTCTAGAAAGGCCCTTCATAGTATGAGTGGAAGGAATTATATATTTTTAGGTGGTTATCATTTGGAGAAAGATTTTATAGTGTTTTAGAAAAGAACTCGTTATTCATTATGTGTTGTGGTTACAGTTGCTCTGACTCACCTAGAGGATCCAGAGAATGCTAAACAAGCGTATGAACAGGCTGTGGAGTTTGACCAGTAAGTACCATCTAAGACTTAAAGGGATCCTTTACTTTAGGTTCTATAGGGTTATTTTCATTTAATTTAGGTTAAAATTAAGCTACATGAAAGTTTCATGGTTCAATCACTATTAGAAATATTTAAAAAAAATGTTTTAAAACTAACGACTATAATTTGATTACAATGACGGTGGCGCCACTCAAAGCGCACGATCTGAAAACTTGCGCAAAACGACTTTTCAGCCAAGGGCTACAGACTGGGTGTTTCTTATTTATTAATTTAAAAGCAAAAGGATTGTAATCTCTTACATAAAGGGCGAGTCTGTTTTTGTGTCTGTCCTTCTGTCTATCTTCTCCCCCCCCCCCGTAACAGCTCACCCCCAACACCATATATATTCTTAATCAGCATGTCGCGACGACCATTTATAAGGCCCCAAAAAAAAAAAAACACAAAATAAAAAAGTTTAAAATTACAATTAAAATGATTTATTCTTTTAATAAATGTTCGCGCGGTGGCGTTATATACCCCCCTACTGCATCGAGTGCGCGTAGTGGTTTTCGCGCTGTTGTTCGCATTTTGTAGCTTTATTGTAGCTGTATTTTGTAGCTCTATTGTCGAATTACAGCGACAATAAACAAATTATTAGCTTCGAAGGAGACACGAAAGCGTCGTAGACGACTACCATATAGGTATAAATGCTGAACTTGCTGCTTATTTTCGTATTTTCGAGTGTTTCGTATTGATCTCCTACAATAAATCGCCGGATCTATCTCATTCTGTCTGTCTGTCTTCTCGAGACCAGTAAGAGGTGACCCGTGAGGTATATTCTCAATCAGCATGACGCGACGACCATTTTAGGCCAAAAACAATTTGCACAAAAAGGCCAAAATAAGGGCAAAAAAACAAACAACAGATTTCCCCCCAAAAAATACTAGCGCAGCAGAAAAGTTAACAATAACAGCAATCCTAGCGCTCGACTATACACTGCAGCAGAAAAGTCAAGACGAATCCTAGCGCAGCAGAAAAGTCAAGACGAATCCTAGCGCAGCAGAAAAGTAAACAGCAATCCTATAGCGCTCAACTATAGTCAGGCTCAAAATCAGGCAATTGCATGAAATGCCGAAACGCAAGCAATAGCAGAAAACGCATGAAATAGCAGAAAAGCAGTAACCCCCAAAAAATACCGGGCATCGCCGGGTAGCCGAGCTAGTATCTTATAAACGACATATAATTTCAGTTATATTATGGATAAATTTGTCCTAAAATGAACATCGTTCGGTTAAATAGCATTTAGGTATAAATATAATTGCACCTTTGTGATTAGCCCTCGGTCTGTGACATGCAAAATATATTGGGAAATGTGCAACTTTTTCAGGGTGGCAGCACGGTCGCGGGTGTCAATGGCGCCGTTCAAATTTCGTAGCGTTGATGTGTAATTAATTATAACAATTAAATTAGGTATCTGGTAACAAGTACGTGTGGGTATAGACGATTTGTTATACAGTAAGTACAGTTGTATGCAGTAAAATCCTAGAGTCTAGTATCCCTTTAAGGAATTCGACAAAAGTGTCCTTATGAAAAGTGATAAAAAGCCTCTTAATAAATGAGTGTCCGTTTCTATGTGAGTGTCCGCCAACACAAGCTTGAGTATACCTTCTTCCAGTTTAATGTTAATTCGGTTAGTTTAATGTGCTGATGACAATGAATTAATTGGACTGTTGTGATTTGTAGTAAAATAGCCACCAGTTTTATGGTAGTGTCATTGTCCTTCCCTACCATTTTAGCATGGTCGAATGGCACTAGTAAAGTGGAGGTGGGTTAGCTTGTGTTCGATCATCAGTGTGTTTGAGCTTAGCTCCATTAACAGTAGTAGTGTGCATGTTAACGGCTTCACCTACATCCCAGCTAACACATATTGCTTGTATTTGGCATGGGGTCGTGATGCAAAATTGTAAAATGTAGAAATAGTGTGTGATAGAATTTGAGTTTAAGGTTTAGGGACAGTAGGTTAAAGGGTGCACTGGACCCAATAGGAAACAGTAGGACCTGTAGCAACAGTAGCAGTTGCGATATCTGCAGCAGTAGCAGTAATAGCAACAGTAGCAGTAAAATCAGTGCCATGGCTTTCAAGTAATAGTTGTCACTCTAATAACGGCTCAGAAAAGTATTTTGAGTTTTCTAAATGCACGACCTTCAGATAAACTCTCCTGCCATTGAACCTTTCTTTCAATCTCACACTCCCATTGTGTTAATGTCGAAATCCGTAAAAATAGCTCTACATGAAATTATCAGCTTAACTACATAATATACAACTATGGTGTCTGACACTTCATTCAACCTATGCCAATAGCACTAGCCTTAATTTTACCACGTTCAAGTTTAGTGCACATACGGGAGTAATTAAGCTTCACAATGCTGGTAGCTAATTAATAGAGATTACGAAGCGGCATCAAGGGCCTTTAGGCCGGACCCAGACTTCAGGTGCTCGCGCTGTCAGGGAACTGCACGGCCGATAGACGGCAGGCCGATGAAGGAGGTTGAGGTCGGTGAGGAGAAGCTCGAGGTCGTCCCGGAGTTCTGCTTCCTCGGCGACATGCTTTCTGCAGGGGGCGGCTACGAACTAGCCGCTATCACTTGCTGCAAGGTCGCGTGGGGCAAGTTTCGGCAACTCCTCCCGTTGCTCACCAACTGGCACCTGCCACTATCAACCAGAGGTCGTGTCTACTCCACGTGCGTGAGGAGTGCGATGCTGCATGCTTCAGAGACCTGGGCCGTGACGGCGAATACCCTGAATCGCCTCCGGCGCAACGACCGAGCCATGATCCGTTGGATCTGCAACGTAAAGATCAAGGACGAAGTGAGCTCGGACTCGCTCCTCGTGAAGCTGGGCATCCAGGGCGTCGACACCGTGCTACGCACAGGCAGAATGAGGTGGCTCGGCCACGTTGAACGCAGTAGCGGATGGATAGCTCGAGCTCACAAGCTCGAGGTGGACTCTCAGAGAGGACCCGGCAAACCGAAGAAGATGTGGGAGGAGGTGCTAAAGAGCGACCGGGCGAAGCTCGGCTTGGAAACGACGGACCCTCAAAACCGCTCTGCGTGGAGAGGGCGTCTCCGATGACGACAAGTCAGACAGGCCCCACCCTCAGGAGAGGATTAATTCAGGCCTGGATAAACTAAAGCCGGATGATGATTAATGATGATGACGAAAATTCCAAATCGTTAATTAAATGCATACTTTTTGATTTGGGAACCTGGAATAACGACACAATATAATTTAGTGTTAACAAGGATATTTTGAAGGATTTGGGTTAAGGTGTAATCTGTGGCTGAGTAGTATATAATACCAGGAGTGAATAATAATAGATCTATTATTATTTACTCCTGATAATACTATAGTCTTATCAATGAGATTATCTAGGATCATGCACACACATCACTGCAAACAATGCCTTTTATTGAGTTGATATTTCATTGAAAGTTGAGCGGCTCAAAATTTCATTGACAATTTCACATTTAATCTCAAAAATTGGATGAGAGAACGTCATTTTTGAACTCATTGTGGCAGACGAAAACGAGAGAGTAATTACGCAATGTTCACGCTCCTTTGTACGTGTATTTTTAGCTCAGCTGACGAAGTCAGATGCAGCTTGTAGAATCGCATGAATGTCAGTCCGCGCGTCCGTCCGTGTGTCAACAGTTATGGCACAAATCTTAATCGCTCGATGTACGGTCTTGATATTTGCGGCGTCAGGGGGTGGGGGGTGGGGGGTCGAATTTGGGGGTCAAGGGTCAAATGTCAAGGTGTGTCAATGGAGGGGGAATATTGGGGAGGTATAGGAGGAAATACGGAATTGCGGCACAAATCTCAACGGCTTGACCTACGCTTTTAATATTTGATGTATATAGTGTGATGGGGAGGAAACCAATCACCAGTGCGAAATTGGAGGTCACAGGTCAAAGAGCAGTGGGGAAAGGTCAGATATCAGACATTCTCTGAGGACATGGTCTAACGGATAGAGTGAAAAACTTTTTTGTTTCAGTGCTGACATACCATTTTTATCACTTTGTTGAAAGGACCATGAAATGTGCTTTCCGCTGACGTGCGAACAGTAAGTGTCTGATAACCTTTTGACCTTCAAGAGGAGGGGTAAACACGGATTTGTTGACTGTTAACAAAGGACTGAACTGCTTTTGCTATTAGAGCCCCCCCACACCCACCCTCCTCCCACCACCACCACTACGCTCGACGCATATCCATGATAACATGTTAATATAGTGAAGTCATTAAAGTTACACAGCTGTATCTTTATTAATGTACTACCGGTATAGCAAAGCCTATCATAGATTTTAGATCTGTATAATTAGTAGTATCCTAGATATATGCTCTGAGCGCGAACGCGGTGGCGGAAGAGCGCACTTGATTTGGTTGCCAGTGAGTTTATCAGAAGAATACCCGGCTACAGTACACGTCAGTTGAGCGCTGTCGCGCTGCGTCACTTGTTGTTTGTTACTCAATGTGTTAATATTTTAGGTGATAGTGCTAGCTAGGTATCTGTGAGAACCTTGCCCTGAAGGGTCTTGGGTTAGAGTTCTACAGCTATACCATGTGTAACAGAAGTAATGCACTCTGATTTTATGTTTCGTATTAAGAATTTAGTGGTAATAATTTAAAAATTATATATGGGCCTTGTTCACTGGTGCGGTGTCTTCGAACAAGGCACACTGTTCTGGTTAGCTTCAGTTGTCCTCTGCTGCTTTATCGGGACGTTGGGCAGCAACCTGAAATATTACAATACCACTGTTACAATAAAACACAGTAACACAGTTCCTGAGGCACTGTGCTCCACAAAACTCACAAAAGAAAAATGTTAGGTATATTATCAGAAGTTCATAAGCTTATCGATTCTAGCCTCAATCTATGACCATTATCATAGATACATATTATACATCTTGTATCATTAGTGTGTAAAGTTTTGTAGAAAACTAGCTGGATAACTACAATTCCTTACTGACGGATAAGCTGTGATTGTTTTCTGTTACTGTGTTTAGGACGGACCCTGCCATTCCACTCAACTACTGCGTGTTCTGCTATAACAATGACTTAAGGCCACTTGCCGTCAAGCAACTTACCAGCTTTGAGCAGCGACTCAACGCCATGCGGCAGAAGAACAGTATGGCACAGATCGACAAGGAGGTGAGCGTGTAATTAACAGCAACAACAACAACAACAATAATAACAATAATGTTATTGTTATTATTATTATTATTATTCTTTTACTTTGATGGCCGATTGTCTACTAGCAGTTAAAGTGAGCATACCCTGAGCTTCATGACGTGTCTTTTTGATAATGACATTTTGTTGTGATTTATTATATATAGCACTTACTATAGCACTATTAATAAAGCCTAGGACACACTAGCGATTCTGTACGCTGCCCGGCAGCGTATATGTTCGCTCACGATTTTAGAACGCCGTACGAGTTGCACGTACAGCTGGACACACTGTCCGGTCTCAATCCACTCTAACGGCTTTCCTAGCTTTCGTTGCTACACTTGATTGGCTGCTAAAAACAATCGCGTTCGAACACGATGATTCATTGTTGGGCACGCTGGTGCAAGCGCATGCAAGCGCATGCGCTGTCTGCAAGCGATGGAAAACCGTGCGGAAATATTCAACATGTTGAATGTGAGCGATCAGCCGGGCGTATGGAATCGCGTGCGAAATACGCTGCCGTGAGACCGGACACACCGCGCGGACCCGGCACCCTATTTATCGATCGCAAGCGGCCAGCGTAGAAAATCGCACAGTGTGTCCTAGGCTTAAGCAATATTACTGCTTATTACTTGTTATTCTGTCAAAAAATTGCTAGTACAGTGATGCAAGCACTTTAAGGTGGCTTGACCAACTGATCGACCGCACGGTGCGCGAAGTGTTGTAATCTCGGCCGGCCCATCTATTACAGCTCCTGGAAGTAGCTGCCAAGATCTGGCGCGCATTGCAAGTAGGTGACAGTTCGTCGGCGGAAAGCACAAAATCTCCGTTCGTCGACACTCAGCTGTCAGCCGTGGCGAGCCAAACGCAGACGCCGCCCAAGGATCCAGCAACGGATGCCGAGTCGCCACGGCAACCGGCAGCAGTGTCCCCTCAGAGCAACGAGATGGCAGCGGTTGACAACGCACCGAGTCCTCCGGTCAACGATCCTGCTATACTGGATAAGGCAGAGGAGGCGAGGCAGAGGGCGACTATGAGGCAGGCCTTACTCAGTGGCGATTAAGCGAGATTAAAGAGCCGATAGCTTACGTGCGCAGTGACGGCGTTTCTAGCTTTCGTAGGAGGCTTCGATCTACATTCTCAAAGGACTACATTTCACATCATTAATGGACTTTGTTTCACATCGTATGGAGACTACATTTTGCACCTTGAAAAGAGATTATTTTGCAGGCTTAATGGACTTCATTGTGCATTCGTAACGGACTTCATTTGGTATGCTTCAGGGAATTTATTTGGCATCGATGAGGGTCATTTCTCATCTTATTGTGGTTACTACTTAAGTGGTACTAATAGTTCCACAGGTGCAAGGATATTGTCTGAATGCATGGAGCCTAGTACATGTTCGGGCTTTCATGTTTTGTAACTTGGCGATAGCCATGCGTACAGGCAGCTCACATGTATGAAGTGAAATGATGGAATCTGATATGTGTATGGTTTATTGACTCTTCTGTATGATTCCAAATAAGGCATTGGCGTATGTTATTGTCCTTACTCGTGCTGTCGTCTGCATCTGCAACAAAGGTGTTGAGTAGGTTAAGGAAGGTCAATTGCCTTCATAATATTTAAGAGTTTATGGGCTCCAGATACACAGCCGTCCACAGTTCTATGACTACTCACTTCTACACTCTATATATGGGCACTTCGACTGATGTTGGGCAGTCGCCAAGATTTTGAATCTCCTGTCTACTCCTGGGTAGAGCTGCATGTTAACCTTACAGCTAGGCCTGGAAATCTGTGAACGACTGGATGTTGGTAGTACAACTTTTTCTGTTACTGTTACTATATATACGTTATTATAATTTATATGTGATACGTTCCGTCCATATTTCAGGGCTGCCAACATTGGGTGATAGGTTAGAGTGAGATGCCAGGGAGCGAAGCGACCGAGCGGGGGGTGAGTGTGGGAAAATGCACCAATTTGTGCAATTTGGTGCATACTAAAGTGACTGTTTTCAGATATTGTAAGATTTTTTTTGCTGTGCGTGAGATATTTTAGCGTTTTATTCATGAAGAGATATTCATGCGTGAGATATCTCAGCATTTTTTTGCTGTGCGTGAGATATTGTAAGATCAGCGTGAGAGCGTGAGATTTGGTCAAAATGTGTGAGTCTCACGGTCAATGCGTGAGAGTTGGCAGCCCTGCATATTTACGATATTGTATGGTATTTTTCTGTGCACAACCCTCATCTGGATATTATTGTCTGTTCTGATCAAAGCCAGCTATAACTTGATGAAGGGCTACAGTGACTGGTGAATGCTGATGATCATGATGACTGATCTCCTGGGCCCAAAGGCTAGCACATGGTATACAGATACGTGGTAAATGCATGCCAAGTTCAAGGAAGTTGTTAGCAGCAATGGTCTCAAATAGGCACACTACATTTTTACGGCACATGGTTCGATGGGCACAGTGGAAAACGTTTTCTTCAGCAGTGCACAGTTATCTATGACCACACTAGTGGAAGGCTAGTCTTTGATTTATTCATTCTTTCGAGTTTAAAATTTAAGCAAAAATCTGTGCCCAGTCAAGTTTATACCAGCATTCAATGCAACAGTCAAAATAATAAAAAAACAGAAATTAGTATCGAAACACAGTAAAAAATCATTATTTGTATTTAAACCACAATTTTCATTCGTATGTATTTGTAATATATCTAGGTTGATTGGAGATAAGACACATAAACTGTGTGGAATCTCTTAGTAATCTAAAGAACTAAGGATCACATAGGTAGAGAAGACATTTCTTATTTCATTCCAGAATATCTAGTCATCGTTGGAACCAATTTATGGTATATTAATATTATGTTATGTTTACTGACGGCTACTCCTCCGTTCACGGCATTATACACAATTCAAATGTAGCATTGTCACATCACTTAATAAATATTTTTTTTAAATGACGAAACATTTTAGCAATTTTCTTGAAATAAGGACAGGTGATGTACATGATCTAACACTACCCGAAAACTCTTCAATTTGTGTATAAGTGTGAAGTCATTGTATAAAAACCAAGGCAATGCATTTCTATCCCATCATTTTACTCTAAAGTCTAGCATTAAAGTCCTGCCATTTGTGAAGGAAATTAATAAGATTGTCAGAAGTCGACAAGTGGCATACATTATTAAGTAGATTGGGTGCACGATGTAACACGACTCTATTGCAGAGGCCAGTGGCCACTAACCTTTTTGGCTAATTCGATACAATCTCAAGAAATCCGAGCGCAGCCATATAAGCAGTGGCGTAGACAGGTCCTCAGTTGTGGGGGGATGATTTCGCTGTTACTTCCATCGCAATGTATATGAAGAGTGCGCGATGAGCGCACACCGCGAGCGCCTTGGCGCGCAAAGCCCTTAATGGGTGGGGTCCAGGGGCCCGTCCTAGGGCCCCTGTCAGGGTGCAGGGGCAGAGCCCTTGCCCTGGGTCCAGGGGTGGAGCCCCCAGAAGCTCTTGGATTTTAGTAATTTAGAACCTTCAAGATGGCCGTTTTTGAGGGAATTGAAAAAAATTGATATTGTAAGTGCAATTTTGTGAATTCTAGTGTAATTTTTTTCTTTGGATCCCAGAGGTTTAATAACACGCACCCCCCACACACAACCAGTGGCGGATCCAGAAGAAAATTCTAGGGGGGGGGGGCGAATCATGCGAGCTCAAGGGCACGAAGCACCCCGTGGGGGGGGGGGAATTGTTAAAAAGCTGCAATCTAAAAGCAATCAATTTTGGACATCTTTATCATAGAATATCAGGATTTTTCCTCCTTCAGGGCGTGTCCCCCTCATGTTTATGTGTGTGGGGGGGGGGGTGTGCGGGTTATTAAACCTCTGGGATCCAAAGAAAAAAATTACACTAGAATTCACAAAATTGCACTCACAATATCTATTTTTTTCAATTCCCTCAAAAACGGCCATCTTGAAGGTTCTAGTCTTCTCACTGCTCACGAAAGTTAAATCCTTGCTTTATTCAAAATTAGAATAGACCTATTGAGAGTTGGGATATGAATTTTCACGTGGATTGAATGGGGCCAATTCAATTTCATCTCACTTTTTTGGGGGGTGGGGTGCTGAGACCCGACCGGAAGTATATTCCGATTTTGTATAAGCTAGGGTGAAAATATGCACTTTTTGGTTCAAATCTGGTTGTTTTCTCATATTTTTTTTGCAGTTTTAACGTTCTCAGTAAAATATACGTTTTATCAAAATTTCAGGGGAGATGATTCCAGTGATGTAGTTGTCAACGCGGGGTCGGTAGCCGGGCGGTCGCCCCCCCTTAGAATTTCAGGGCAAAGGTATTTTAGCCTAGGTAAGTCTGCACTGGTAAACCCCGTGAAGACATGTACATAGCACAGATTTGGTAGTAAGTATATTTGTCTTTGGTGTCCCCAAAGGTAAAAATACTCAACTCAACAGTGATGTATTGTGATGAAGATTGTTTAATAGTGCTGCCTTCATAGTGCAGGGAATTTGCATCGAAAAGGTGTTACTTTCAACAAAATCCCCGGACACCCCCCCCCACACACACACATAAACATGAGGGGGACACGCCCTGAAGGAGGAAAAATCCTGATATTCTATGATAAAGATGTCCAAAATTGATTGCTTTTAGATTGCAGCTTTTTAACAATTCCCCCCCCCCACGGGGTGCTTCGTGCCTTGAGCTCGCATGATTCGCCCCCCCCCCCTAGAATTTTCTTCTGGATCCGCCACTGGTTGTGTGTGGGTGCGTGTTATTAAACCTCTGGGATCCAAAGAAAAAAATACACTAGAATTCACAAAATTGCACTTACAAGTATCAATTTTTTTCAATTCCCTCAAAAACGGCCATCTTGAAGGTTCTAAATTACTAAAATCCAAGAGCTTCTGGGGGCTCCACCCCTGGGACCCAGGGCAAGGGCTCTGCCCCTGCACCCTGCCAGGCGGCCCTAGACGGGCCCTGCGACCCCACCCATTAAGGGCTTTGCGCGCAAGCGGCTCGCGTGTGCGCTCATCGCCCACTCTTCATATACATTTGCGATGGAAGTAACAGCGAAATCATCCCCCGCACAACTGAGACCTGTCTTACGCCACTGCTTATATGGCTGCGCTCGGATTTCTTGAGATTGTATCGAATTAGCCAAAAAGGTTAGTGGCCCACTGGCCGCTCTGCAATAGAGTCGTGTTACATCGTGCACCCAATCTACTTAATAATGTATGCCACTGTCGACTTCTGACAATCTTATTAATTTCCTTCACAAATGGCAGGACTTTATGCTAGACTTTAGAGTAAAATGCATGGGATAGAAATGCATTGCCTTGGTTTTTATACAATGACTTCACACTTATACACAAATTTGAAGAGTTTTCGGTAGTGTTAGCATCATGTACATCACCTTCCTTATTTCAAGAAAATTGCTAAAAATGTTTCGTCATTAAAAAAAAATATTTATTAAGTGATGTGACAATGCTACATTTTGAATTGTGTATCAATGCCGTGAACGGAGGAGTAGCCGTCAGCTAAACATAACATAATATTAATATACCATAAATTGGTTCCAACGATGACTAGATATTCTGGAATGAAATAAGAAATATGTCTTTCTCTACCTATGTGATCCTTAGTTCTCTTTAGATTACTAAGAGATTCCACACAGTTTATGTGTCTTATCTCATCAAACCTAGATATATTACAAATACATAGCGAATGAAAATTGTGGTTTAAATACAAATAATGATTTTTTTACTGTGTTTCGATACTAATTTCTGTTTTTTTATTATTTGACTGTTGCCATTGAATGCTGGTATAAACTTGACTGGGCACAGATTTTTGCTTAAATTTTAAACTCGAAAGAATGAATAAATCAAAGACTAGCCGTTCCACTAGTGTGGTCATAGATAACTGTGCCACTGCTGAGAAAACGTTTTCCACTGTGCCCATCGAACCATGTGCCGCTAAAAATGTAGTGTGCCTATTGAGAACCATGCCTGCTAACAACTTCCTTGAACTTGGCATGCATTTACCACGTATCTGTAACCATGTGCTAGCCTTTGGGCCCAGGAGATCAGTCATCATGATCAGCATCAGCATTCACCAGTCACTGTAGCCGCTTCATCAAGTTATAGCTGGCTTTGATCAGAACACACATAATATCCAGATGAGGGTTGTGCACAGAAAAAATACCATACAATATCGTAAATATGCAGGGCTGCCAACTCTCACGCATTGACGTTGAGACTCACATCATTTTGACCAAATCTCACGCTCTCACCGCTGATCTTACAATATCTCACGCACAGCAAAAAAATGCTGAGATATCTCACGGCATGAATATCTCTTCATGAATAAAACGCTAAAATATCTCACGCACAGCCAAAAAAAATCTTACAATATCTGAAAACAGTCACTTTAGTATGCACCAAATTGCACAAATTGGTGCATTTTCCCACACTCACCCCCGCTCGGTCGCTTCGGCTCCCTGGCATCTCACTCTAACTATCACCCAATGTTGGCAGCCCTGAAATATGGACGAACGTATCACATATAAATTATAATAACGATATATATAGCTAACAGTAAACAGAAAAAGTTGTACTACCACATCCAAGTCGTTCACAGATTCCAGGCCTAGCTGTAAGGTTAACATGCAGCTCTACCAGGGTAGACAGCAGATTCAAAATCTTGGCGACTGCCCAACACAGTCGAAGTGCCCATATATGAAGTGTAGAAGTGATAGTCATAGAACTGTGGACGGCTGTGTATCTGGAGCCCATAAACTCTTAAATATTATGAAGGCCAATTGACCTTCCTTACCTACTCAACACCTTTGTTGCAGATGCAGACGACAGCACGAGTA